TTTAGAAAATTCTCAGAAGTTTCAAAAATCACTTATTGCTAAGTCTGACCAAATCAAGACCACTTACTAATTTGATGTGTCTAACAATAATGATTACCAGTTAGTTTATAATCTATATAGGACTTCAAAATAGATTTAATAATAAAATCATTATGTATTGAAATGTTTAAAAGCTCACAAATCTTACTTGGCCTCTATCATAGAATATTCCTTTTTTTTTTTTTTTTTTAAAGATTTTATTTATTTATTTGTAAGACAGAGAGAGACACAGCGAGAGAGGGAACACAAGCAGGGGAAGTGGGAGAGGGAGAAGCAGGCTTCCCGCGGAGCAGGGAGCCCGATGCGGGGCTCGATCCCAGGACGCTGGGATCATGACCTGAGCCGAAGGCAGACGCTTAACGACTGAGCCACCCAGGCGCCCCTATCATAGAATATTCTAACATGAATCAAAAGCAAATTAAATGTATTGATTGTACTGAAAATATCATTGATAATAAAAGCAAGCATGAAATCACAGGCAAAAAGTAAATTTCTCTATGGAGGTAGCCAGGCTCAATAGTTTCAAAAGAAATTATAAACACTTGTTTACAAAAACATGAGTAGTATAATCTGCAATAAAAAACAAAACACAAATCCGTGTTTTTCCCCACTGAAGTCATGTGCATACTCACACTACCTCAAATTATTATAGACATGAACTTGTGAACCAGAGCTAAAGAATGTCCATTGCCACACGCACTTGACAGCGCCCAGAAAACAGACAGGACAACAGCCATGCGCTTCCAGGCACAGGATTAACTAAACCACAATTCAAAACATAAAATACAATTAAGTTGGCTCATTCTTTAGGTTTTGGTAGAAAAATGAAGCACATGTTGCAATAAAACTGATCTGTGAAGGCCTTGTGATTGGATGTATTTTCAAGAAAACCACGGGCAAATTATAATAGCAACCTCTGTGACCCCTAAGACACTACCTTTTAAAATTCCATTTCAAAGGTTTTAGAAGTCCACGCAACGGAAGAGCTGAGTACCAAGAACAAGTCCGTCTAGCACCCGGATTATAAGCCCCACTCCTGACACGAGCACTAACAGGAAGTGCCTGCCATAAAATGAAAATGTCACTGCAAGTTGGGAATTACAGGTGAAATCTCAGTAACTCAGGAAGGCCTCTGACAGATGATAACCTTAGCGAGAATCTAGCAGACAAGTGAGCCAAGAAAGATAGGACAAGGAGGGAAGATGCATTTTGGACAGAGTCTAGCAGAGGCAAAAGGGGGCAGAGCCCAAACACAGGAGAGGCAGAAAGCCAGCGCGAGCATGGTTGGGGCAGAGAGGTAACCAAACACTTGATAAGTGAAGTGCCTTTGCATGAGAAAGGCACCTGATAAACTACGGAATGTGAATTTTTTCCTGAAAGCAAAGGGGATGCACTGGCAGATATCTGAGTAGGAGATTAACAGGGTTACGTTTCTGACAATTCAGTTTGGCAAAACAGAGCATAAGAACATAGCACTCACACATCAGTGACTGGATGCACGTGCGGAATCACCAAGAAAGGAACGACTCTAAGCCTAAACTCTACAGCAACTCCATCCAGCAGAACTTTCTGTGATGCCGGGAATAGTCTACGCTGTCTTACACGGCGGCCACTAGGCACCTGAAATGTGGCGAGCTAGGTGGCCAAGGAACTGGGTCTGTGCTTCCATTTAACTGTAATTAATTTACAATGAAGTAGCCACATTTTGCTAGTGGCCCCCCCCCCGCCAGCGTAACCCCCAGGTTTTGGGGAGAGATGCTGAACTCAATCTTAGGCAGTATGTAAGGGATCTGAGGACAGCCCCTGTTAAACAGCTAAATAGGAGTCTGGACTCCAGAAAGTGGTTGAAGGTACTTCTATCACCCAGAGAATCAATTGAGTAGGAAAAAACAAAGAAACTGAAGGGAAAAGAAGTCGAAGAAGTTGAGGAAACACTGAAACACAGAGACAAAGAAGAGCCCATGGAGGAGACAGAAAGAGAAGCCCAACAGCAAAGGGAAATTCATGAGAAAGGCACCTGCAAAGGTCACAGGGGAAGGAAGTTTGGGAAGAGGAAGGGCAACCATGCAGATAGCCACGGAGGGCCAGGCTTGCTGGGGGGGCCTGTGGGGGTGCCCCCTCCGAAGAGTAGGGTGGGGCGTGACCAGAGGCAGGGGAAACAGAAGGGCACAGTCCTCAGCTCTACCTGTAACACTTCTGAACAGCACAAATCCATCGATGAAACACTAACCTACTGCCTGTCAACTCGCATTCTAAGTCAGCCAGGGTTAAAGCCTACCAGGGCCCAGTGGCCACCCTCACGTGTCCACGTAAGTGTCCACCTTTCTGGGTTCAGTTCTCTGGATACTGGGACACTGCCTTCTTGTTTTCCATCTCACAATACAACCATGTAGCATTTATTCATAGTAAAAATAGTGAATACGTTTTCTTAAGGAAAAAATAAATTTATATCCAAGTATTTATTCAGAGTCCCTAGTCCAACGGCAGGATCTACAAATTTTCTCTCATAAAAGGAGCTGGCTGGCCTGGGTGGCTCAGTAGGTTAAGCGTCTGCCTTCGGCTCAGGTCATGATCCCAGGGTCCTGGGATGGAGCCCAGCATCGGGCTCCCTGCTCAGTGGGGAGTCTGCTTCTCCCTCTCCCCCTGCTGATCCCCCTGCTTGTACTTTCTCTAGCTGTCAAATAAATAAATAAAATCTTTAGGAAAAATAAATAAAGGAGCTGGCAACTCATTTATTACTTAATTTTTTAAAATTTAAGTAATTCACATGATCTGAAACTTAAAACCATATCAAAAAACATGCAATGAAGGGCACCTAGGTGGCTCAGTCAGTTGAGCAGCATCTGACTTCAGCTCAGGTCATAATCCCGGGGTCCTGGGGTCAAGCCCTGCTTCAGGCTCCCTGCCCCTCCCCCCACTCATGCTCTCTAATAAATAAATAAAAATCATTAAGAAAAAATACAGTGAGAAGTCCACACCCTCCTCCACTCTTGACCTCGCCAGCACAGCCAGACATGTGAATAATCAGTTCTATGAATTTTCTGTGTATGTGTCCAAGATTTTTTATGCCAATACAAACAAACATACATTCCTACTTTTTCCACCATTCTGACACAAAAGTAGGTTATTATTCACATTGTACTGTAGCTTCCTATTTTTCACTTAAACATGTACCTTGGAACTCTTTCCATATCAATGTAAAAAGGGTCTCCATGTTCCTTTATAGATCCCGACAATCAATGTTAAACAGAAATCAAAATTGCAGGGGCACCTGGGTGGCTCAGTCAGTTGAGCATCTGACTCTTGATTTTGGCTCGGGTCATGATCTCAGGGTCCTGGGATTGAAGCCCCCAGTCGAGTCGGGCTCTGCACTGTGAAGCCTGTGTAAGATTCTCACGCTTCCTCTGCCTCTCCCCCCACTAAAATAAATAAATAAATCTGAAGAAGAAGAAGAAGAAGAAGAAGAGGAGGAGGAGGAGGAGGAGGAGGAGGAGGAGGAGGAGGAGGAGGAGGAAGAAGAAGAAAAAATAATAATAATTAAAATTGCAAATCCCAACCATGAAAGTAAGAGGGATTTGTATGAGCCCAGAGGCACTGATAGCGAGCTGTCAGCCCTGGAATTTATTAATCATCTTTTAAATACCTTAAAAAAACAAAACAAAAACAAACTTGAAAGCAGGGAAAATCAACCACAGTTAAAGTACCTGCTTTCATGAGCTATGAAAAACATTCTAGATACTTAAAACCTAATATACTTAAACCATAAATAAAATTCCTGGAGTAGTTTCTTAGAGGAAATAGGTGCAGTACTCATAAAATCAAGGTTCCATATAAAGCTCCTTTACCCATTAAACACCTTTTGGAAACAGTTCACTAGTGAACCCCAGACCAAGGCAGTGATGCATTTAACTCCAGTAATTACTATCCAAAGGGATGGACTTTGTGCTACAATAAAAGCAAGTATCCTCGCTGAGCTGCTATGATCCTGAGATCTCACATCCTGCCCTAATGCAATTAGCCTACAGAGAGCTAATTACCTAATCGAGGGATCACAGTTTCACTGACATCTTACTTCCTCCAACAGTAATAAACACCAGGGCGCTAAGATAGCACCTAATTAGTGAGCTGCATTAGTGTTTACAAGGCGGTTTCAGCTGGTGATGTGTTCTCTGCATACAGTTCGGTTCAAAGAATGCTTTCCTAACCAAAAGAAACAGCTCTTTTCATGTTACAGGATAGCATTTTATAAAAACAGGAGAGGATTCTTTAGGGTAACATAAATCATCCGACATAACACAGGACATCAAGAGACAGCGCCTGTCAGCAGAATGCCTATATAACGTCAGTCCCTTCATTCCTCCTAGAACCACTATGTATCTTTGCACCTTGTGAAATATTTGTGCAATTCTCAAGAAACCACTGAACTATTACTCAAATGAGAGAGAGAAAAATAGTTCAACATATGGTCACACTTACTTACCTCAATGAAATAAGCCACATTCTAACTTGTGTGTTTTGTTTTGTCCCTTTCAAAAGTTTATTCCAAAGTTTTGAGAGGCAAAAATCTCAGGGTGCTAGAGTAAACTGTCGAGGGCGAATGATAAAGAGTCCTGTGAGAAAAAGCCTAGAAGATACGTAACATATTGGTTCTATACACAGGCATGAGACCAATGTTTCAGAAGGCGGCTAGGACTAAACTCCACTCTCATTTCCAAGATACTCCAGAAAAATGAGCTTATTTCATTTAATACATGACAGGCCAGGAAAACGGATTCAAACAGTATCAGTCGGTTTAGAAAAGAAAAACCAACTTTCATTCTCCACGAAGTGCTTGCACAGTTGAATATCCTCCATCATATTCTATCAGAAAAGTGGGCAGATAAAACTGCTACAGAGGAAGCCGGAACAAAGCACGGGGGGAGGCACACTGCATCGTTCACGGAGTGCCCAGCAACACTTGCCTGACTTTGGGCACCACCATCCGATGCTGCACCATAAGCGTGTGGCCGATCGATGCCATCAGAGTAAAGGCCTCCTCGCTGGCTGAGTCCCTCCACACCAGGTTTAACAGGGTGTTGGTCTGCTGCTTCGTGTCCAACTTCTTCAGACACTCCTCCGTTATGTATGGTACTGAGAGCCTACCATCCTCCTAAAACACACCACATAAATTGCTCTGAGTTAACGACGTTTTATTAGAAATGACCCTCTATACGACACACACACACGAAATCTGATCTTACTTCAAGTGAAAATAAAAAGTAGGCATTATCTAAAAGTTACCCACATCACAATGGACAAATCAATAGCTCTCCAAATGCATCCATTAAAGTAATATGAAATTCTCTAGAGTTCCACAGTCACTATCTACATTAGACACCAATTTTATCCAGCATTACCAACACAGGGACTGTAAATACTCAGTTTTTGCCTACTGATGTGACAGTATTTCAGTATTGACATTTTAAGAAAAATTAATTTTGTATTTTTAGACACCACTGTATTAAGCATACATGGGTGGGAATATATTATCATCTAGCAGAATTTCCATTTTAAATTATTTGGGAGATTACAGTTTAAGCAAAAATAGAATCTTAAATAATTTATTTTTAGAAAAACAAGAGATATATTTTATATCTTAATTTCCCTAAAGATCTCATTCACCAAATAAAACCTGAACTAAGACACTATGCATTTACCTATTTGGGGTATTAACCAGAGATACATACTTTTTTCATATATGTATGTATATATCCAAGTATATATAAATATGAATATATATACACAACACTGGGTATTGCTGAATACATTGTTTGGAAACTTAAATGGATATAATTTACGTAACTTATAATAATCTATCAAAACACTGCTTTAGATAAAAGTAATAAATTCTGTCAAACTTGAATCTGTAAATAAGATACACCTAATAAAAGGAGTTAGGAATAGAGTACATTGGTACTATTTTCGTAGTGTACATATTTAAAATAAATTATACACAAATAATAACTAAACTGATTATACAGAAACCTAAGAGTTTATGAACAGTGAAATTTGCCTCTGGAAAATCTCATTCAATCAAATTAAAGTCTACATAATTCTCATAGGAAATAATACATAAGCAGCCATCAAAAGATCAGACCAAAAAATAAAGAAAAGATTTTGAGTCAAATCTGTTGAGTACCTGGCCTTCTACTGGGTCACTGGTTCTGAACCCAAAAGTGGACAAGAAGGGAGAGATGATAAACAATGCAAGGGAAAAATGAAGAGAAAAAAATGAAAAAGAGAAACAAAAGTACCATGTCATATAATTCTAGTAACACAGACCTTGAAACCCTTGTATATTAAGGAAGAAAAATAAAGTGGAGTAAAATTTCCCAAAAATATAAGTAACAAAATAAAGCTGCACTTTTTTTTTTTTTGCAGTTTGTCAAAAAAAATTTTAATGACTTTATGGGATGCCTAGCCCATGCAATGGCTCACACTTCAAAGGCTTACATTTAGAAACTTCAAAATAAAAGTTCTAAGCCATATTCTCCAATAGTCTTATGGGCTTTTTTTTTTTTTTTTAAAGATTTTATTTATTTGAGAGAGAGAGAGAATGAGAGACAGAGAGCATGAGAGGGAGGAGGGTCAGAGGGAGAAGCAGACTCCCCGCTGAGCAGGGAGCCCGATGTGGGACTCGATCCCGGGACTCCAGGATCATGACCTGAGCCGAAGGCAGTCGCTTAACCAACTGAGCCACCCAGGCGCCCCAGTCTTATGGGCTTTTAAAAATAAATTTTTTTAAAATTTAAACTCAATTTAGTTAACATATAGTGTATTATTAGTTTCTGGGGTAGAGGTCAGTGATTCATCAGTCTTAAATAACACCCAGTGCTCATTACATCACATGCCCTCCTTCATGCCCATCCCCCAGTTACCCCATCCCCCTCCTCCCTCCCGCCAGCAACCCTCAGTAGGTTTCCTAGAGTTAAGAGCCTCTTATGTCATATGACTTCACTCATATGTGGAATTTAAGAAACAAAACAGATGAACATGGGGGAAGGGAAAGAAAAAAATAAAATCAGAGAGGGAGACAAGCTACACTTTTTATACGTTCTAGCAGTGTAACCACAAGCGAGCCTGAGTACTCTTTTGTTTCCTATGTCTCATATTCTGCTCTTCTGTTTGTGTCCACAGTGAGAAGGGACTTCCTAACACCCCTCCAGCAGACGCAGCCCAGAGCCTCATTTTCACGTGGATACAAATTATACTGTGTATAAACATTACAATTTCACAGCTTCTCTAGAAGGTAATTAAGCATTAAAAAAGTGTCTTCTAAAAACAAAAGTTTTATCTACATTCCATCTACAGAATCCCACTTTTTTTTACCATATAAAAAATTCACATTTTTATGTGCAGTTCTGAATTCTGACAGATGCAAGGCTTGCAGCTTCCACCAAAACATTCAGTTTTGCCCTCTGTAACTAGCCCTTCCCCTAGCCGTAAGGGGCAATGACTCCTCATCTCTGCTAACGAAGCTATCTGCATCGGAAGGCAGAGCACTAACACACCCTCTCACTTCACGAGATCCTGAAGATTTACGTTCCCTGGGAAACCTGAACTACTCTGGAGTGTCTTCTTCCTGGGACTGGACTTAGTATTAATAATGGGAAATTTCCTAACCAAAAAAATATTTAAACCCATGTCAGCCTTATCTCAAGTTATTTCAATTGTGTAATTAAGAGAAAAATCAGCAGATATATCACTGAAGACACATAAATTATGTGTGTGTATAATGCAGAGCTTTTTATTCCTTGAAAATACACAGCAAACCATGCTTATACGTTACAATAAACTCAATATTCATTTTTTAAAAATAAATCTAACATTTGTCATCTACAAAACTGCCAAAAATTAACAGGAGACATTACTTGGTGCCCACAACATAGGGTAAGGAAGAAAACCTTTTTTCCCTTTGAGGCTGGGAGAAGGGGAGGGCGTGGCTGCTGATGGGCGCGGGTTTCTGTGCAGACAATGCTCTACCTGAGTGGTGGTGGCTGCGGTTAGGCGAATATACTGAGAGATCACTCAACTGTACATCACTTTATTTTTTTTTTTTTTAGATTTTTTTTTTTTAATTTATTTGAGAGAGAGAGACAGAGATAGTGAGATAGAGAGCACAAGTGGGGAGGAGAGGGAGAAGCAGGGTCCCCACAGAGCAGGGAGCCCGATGCGGGACTCGATCCCAGGACCCCTGGATCATGACCTGAGCCGAAGGCAGACGCTTAACCGACTGAGCCACCCAGGCGCCCCTGTACATCACTTTAAAAGGGCGAGTTTTATGGTAAAGTGTATCTCAACAAAGTTGCGCTAAAAATTTCTTAAAAATGGGTTGGGTTAAAAAACCCAACAATTTCACCTCTAGGAAAATTTCCCAAGTAACAAATTAATATACAGCATGGCCTACTCTGCATAAAGAACCCACATAACTATGTACCCCCACATACACTTCTATGGATGGGCAGGAGAAGGTGTGGAAGAACATCCCAATCCCCAGTCGCCAGGACAGTCATCTCTGGAAAGAACAGGGTGGACGAGGGGCGCCTGGGTGGCTTAGTCATTAGGCGTCTGCCTTCGGCTCAGGTCACGATCCCAGCATCCTGGGATCGAGCCCCGCATCAGGTTCCCTGCTCCGTGGGAAGCCTGCTTTTCCCTCTCCCACTCCCCCTGCTTGTGTTCCCTCTCTCACTGTGTCTCTCTCTGTCAAATAAGTAAGTAAAATCTTCAAAAAAAAATTAAAAAAAAAAAAAAAGAACAGGGTGGCCGAGGAAGGGAGGGGACTTCATCTGCAGTCTGAATGCTTTACAACAAGAACGCTTTCATGTACTACTTATATAGCCAAAAGTAAGGATGGACACAAAGTTAAAAGTGACCTCAAAATCAGATGGAGTGATATGTAGTGTAATTCGTTCGCTGACCCCCAGGCCCCCTGGAGCTTACCGGAGCGCTCGGCTGCTTATCGGCCTCTTCACCCTCATCTTCCGAGTCACTGGCCGAATCTTGACAGCTCGTGCCGGTAGGTGAAACTGGTAGCTGAGAGAGAAAGGTCTGGAGTACTCTTAAATACACCAGCAGTCCTTCCTCAGAGAGGGTTCCTTTGTAAAACAGTCAGTTGTAGTATTTCATTAGAAATGATCAAACAGAAACTAGAAAACTCAGGTATCATTTTTCTTATATTCAGAGAAACATTTCTGACCACATCTTATTATCAAAATTCTAATAACTCATGTACAGATGTATTAAAATACATCAGAGAAAGATGCTATAATTCTAGAATAGGCACACATTAGAAGTTTAGCATAAGTGGGGATAACATCCCTGCACTCACAGGAGTTCTCCCATTCAACTTTAAAATTCTTTTTAATCTGTGTGGCCTGGTAACATGTATCTGAATCGAGCCTTTTTTTTTTTTTAAGTAATCTTTACACCCATGGTGGGGCTCAAACTCACAACCCGGAGATCAAGAGTCACATACTCCACTGATGGAGCCAGACAGGCGTCGCTGAATAGGGACTTTTTTATGTGCCTAGAAACTTTCCCCACTGTCTAGGACACAGACCTTCAGCAAACACACTCTTACAAGAAATCCACCCCGTCCCCCAGGGGCCACCTTGACAACATACACCTGGCACTGGATTTGCTTCTCTTTTGACTTCTATCTGCCAGTACTATGTAAATAGGAGTTCAAGTAGAACACGTCTTTTATCTCATACCCAGGTAATGCTCGCCAACAGTTAAGACAAAGAAGAAGAGCCACGGTGCCCCACTGCTCGTCTTGGAGTGCCTGCTCTCTGGGAACAACAGTGCGCTCAGGAAGGGCTCGTAAGGGAAAACAGTGTGTGCATCCGCTAAGGCTGGAATGATGAAATGAAAAATCTGATCTGTAAAAGGTGCTGCCAACAACTCCTCAGTGAAGGCGCTAAAAACTTGTTGCCTGAAAGAAAAACGGAAGCTTTTATCAAAACATACTGTTCATAAAATCACCGATTAAAATTAACTTATGAAATATTCTTTTCTAAATTAATTGAAGTTAAGCATTCAGTATCAACTAAATTGCCTTGAAATTAACGGATTTTGTGCATTCCCTATTGAGAAAACTCTACCATGTTTTTATATCTTTCAATAGCTACTAGAAGACAGGAAAATAACCAGACCATCAGAATTATAAATTTATATTGGGGTACAGGCCAAACAGAAATAGTAAAACTTTTCTTTAAATTGAGTCACATTAATAAAGTAAAAATTTCACTTTGAAGTCTATATGTAAAATAGCATCCATGTAATAGTTATTGTTAGATACAGAACCTGTGAACTTTCAAAATCAGTAAATTATCCCATTCTCACCTTGCACCTTCTGGACAGGAGTTGTAGGTAAAGTGCAATGGTTTCAGAACATTCTCTAGCAAAATGTTTGCTATAGGAACTCGAGATAAATCAGAATATTCAATACTTGATGGAAGCTTGCTGTTAATTAACAAATAGAGAGATCTATAATACCCTAAAAGAAAGGAAAAACACATATTTAAAATTAGATACCTTCATCATAATGAGGAAAAAAATGTGTCAATTTTTAAAAGCTTTTTATAAATCTCCATGGGTCCAAATTTAAGTTAATTCTTCTTCAACTTTCCTTTTTTGTTAAATGTTACTAGTTAAACAGACAATGGCCCCCTTTCTTTAAGTTTATTAATTTTTTTTTTTTAAAGATTTTATTTATTTATTTGAGACAGAGAGCATGAGAGGGGGGAGGGTCAGAGGGAGAAGCAGACTCCCCGCCGAGCAGGGAGCCCGATGCGGGACTCGATCCCGGGACTCCAGGATCATGACCTGAGCTGAAGGCAGTCGCTTAACCAACCGAGCCACCCAGGCGCCCAAGTTTATTAATTTTTTAAAGTAATCTCTACACCCAACGTGGGGCTCGAACTCACGATCCCGAGATCAAGAGTCGCATGCTCTACCGACTAAGCCAGCTGGGAGCCCCTTCAACTTTTTTATTAAGGAAAAGTTAAATACATAAGTAGCCTGAAATGGTATATATACTCCATGTACCCATCACCCACTCCTCCATTCATTGGGAAGCAAATCTAAAATATAATGATTTCAATGTGTCATCAAAGGACTTTATTTTTCTTAAAAATACCATTATGACAGCTAAATTAAATTAACAATAATTCCTTGCTATCACAAGCATCTATCTAGTCAGTGTTCAAGTCTCCAACTCTCTCTTGCTATAAATTTTATTTAACTAGTTTGCTTGAATCAGGATCTAAGTAAGGCCCATACATTGTGATGGTTTTCATTTGCCTCTTAAGCATCCTCCAAGTATTTAACTAGTTTTGTGGTTTTTAAAAAGCATGTTGAACTCATGGACTTAAACAGACATATTTCAATTTACTGCAGTGGTTATCCTCACTAATTCTCACACTGTCCTGTCTTTGGGCAATGGGGTAGGCTGTGGGCAGGCCCCTGAGCTCCACCGCTCATGAAGAGCATCTCCAGACTCACCTGTCCTCATCTCCTGACCTGGAGCCAGGACCTGGCACCCACCAGCCTTTTCATTCCTTTTAGAGGAAATGATGGCTTTGGAGACCAAAATATGGGCACCAGGGAATTCAAGCTGAAGCAACAACTTTTATGACCTTACTAAACTTTTAATGGGATTGCAAGGTGTGCAGTAAACATCAACTCTGGCATCACCAATGATCCAAACCCTACAGTCTTTTAAATATATTTGCCCCCCCACCCCCGCCTTTTTTAAAGATTTTATTTATTTATTTGATAGAGAGGGACACAGCGAGAGAAGGAATACAGCAGGGGCAGAGGGAGAGGGAGAAGCAGGCTTCCCACTGAGCAGGGAGCCCGACGTGGGGTGAGACAGATGAAGGGGATGAAGAGGTACAAACCTCCAGCCATAAAATCAGTAAGTCACGGAGATTAAGGAAAAAAAGAAAAAAGGGACAGTATAGAGAATACATCAAGAATTTTAAAAATATTATGGGGTGCCTGTGTGGCTCATTCTGTTAAGCATCTGCCCTCAGCTTGGGTCATGATCTCAAGGTCCTGGGATCTAGTCCCGCATCAGGCTCCCTGCTCAGCAGGGGAGCCTGCTTCACCCCTGCCCGCCGCTCCCCCTGCTTGTGCTCTCTCTATGTCAAATAAATAAATAAAATCTTAAAAAAATGATACCGTTAATATGTCAACATCAATCTCTGTATGTATTGAACAGATTTACCTGACAGCATGACTAGAGTATGAAGTTCCGCTGCATTTGTTAAAAAGCCTTCATGTTAAATCACAGCACATACTGTATAATAATACAACCTATAATTAGTAAACACTGCCAAATTTTATAGACTCCTAATGCCGGGGAGAAACAGGTGAATGGAATTAAGAGGAACAAACTTCCAGTGAGGTCAGTAAGTCACGGAGATGAAAGTACAGCACAGGAGTAGAGTCAACAGTAATGGTGCATGGGACAGATGGGGGCCACACTTGTCGCGCGGAGCCCTGAGCACCGCATGGAGCTGTGGCATCACCACGTGTCCCCACAGAAGGTGCCAGAAGCGGCAGTTTCACCGCAAGATTGTGACACACTTTCTACTTCTAGACACATTTCAAAATAATGCATTTCTTAGTTACATTCTTTACACTTTTAGAAAACAAGAAAAGTAAAAATTCTCATGATTGCTCAGCCTTAAATCAATATACACAATAATGCATCACTGATACAAAGGATGATTTCTAATTATCATTACTTTGTTTTTTAAAAGATCAAATCCCACAAATTTCAATTTACTTTTAGTTGACTCCCTAATTTTTCAACAAACTAAAATAGGTTTCTTTTTTTTTTTTAAAAAGATTTTATTTATTTATTTGAGAGAGAGAGAAAGCACAGCGATGTGAGGGGCAGAGAAGCAGACTCCCCACTGAGCAGGGAGCCCGACGTGGGGCTCGATCCCAGGACCCTGGGAACATGACCTGAGCCCAAGGCAGACACTTAACCGACTGAGCCACCCAGGCCTACCCACCCCCTTTATTTTAAACCTAAGCCAAAAGCTAAGGTTGAGATGTATACGAATTTAATTTTTACAGTTTTAGTATTGAGGATTAAATTAGCTATGTTTAGCCTACATTAGTCCATCACCTCTGGAAAACAAAAAGAAACTTATTTATGGCTTTACCAGTGACTCCTGCCTTCCAGAACCACCTATAGCCCCTCTTATAACAAATAACACACTTATTTTTTAATGCTAATACCTCTGAAGTCCAAGCCCTGAAGTGTTTGACTTCCTAGCTGTGAGATTACTGGTAGTCAGATTTTTATTTTTATTTTTAACGATTTTATTTATTTGACAGAGAGAGACACAGTGAGAGAGGGAACACAAGTAGGGGGAGTGGGAGAGGGAGAAGCTGGCTTCCCGCGGAGCAGGGAGCCCAATGTGGGGCTCGATCCCAGGACCCCGGGATCATGACCTGAGCCGAAGGCAGATGCTTAACGACTGAGCCACCCAGGTGCCCTGGGAGTCAGATTTTTAAATTTTTGTTGTATACAGCTTAACTCATCATAAAAGTTTTAGAAATCCTGTGTATTTCATAGTCACTAATGTGTCCTCAGAGGAATTTCAGATCTAGATTATACCTTACACAACGCAGTCCTTATCAGAAGAGTGCCAACGTGTAAGAGCTTTAACACCCAGTCGGAAAGAAAACTCCGACTCAATCTCTTCCTCTCCTCTGCTGAACTGATGTGAAGACTGAGATTACTTCTGACTGAGACCGGCTATCCCGCTGACTTGTCTCTCGTCGCTGCAGCACTATTTACTGCTCCTCCCACTGGGGACACGGCCGCTGGCTCACTGACGTGAGGACCAGCTGCTGCAGATACGCATAAGCGAAGCCCCCACAACAGTTTCTGGAAGCATGCATTTGCTTTAGAGTGGACCACATTTCCAGACGTTCAGGGTGTGGAGAGCTGAGGACAAACATCAGCACTCGTGCCTCCAGCAGGTGCTCCCCTCAGCAGTGCCCCGTCACAGTCACTCTGGGTGTTTAGAGCGCGTGTGCAAGCTCTACAGAGCATCCTGCCTACGCAAAGCCCCAGCCCCACCTGCTACCTACCATTCTGAATCATGTAGTGCAAAATCTGTTCAATGATGGACACCACGTAGCTAGCGTCTTGTAAAACAGGCAAGTAAGTATTCTCAGATGAAAACACCTCAAGCATCCTCATTGGAAGTGCAACATTCAAACTGTCATCATTACAGTTTTGCAATAACCTGTAAAAACAAACCAAAAAAAAAGTATTCACATACTTACTTACTGCATGGCAAATGTCATCCCAAACTCCCGCAAATGACTCTCCTTCACTATGGTGTTTGAGCCACTCTGTTCTAGTACTAGAGGTCTCTGAAAACAGGCATGACTCGAGGATAGACAGGACAACAACTTACACTTCCTTTGGAGTACTCATTACTTGCCCAACAGCATGCTGACACTGGGTTTGTAGAGATGAGAAATGCACAATCACAGAGGGAAAAACAGACAAGAAAAATCAAAGACCACAAATGTAGTGTGAGAAGTGTTATAATCCATGGATCTCGCTAAAAGTGCTTAACTCCTTCAAAGAGCTCTTCAAGACTTTCCACACCTGTGAGAAGTTGCTGACTCGATGGGATTTACCTGCAACAGAGGCTCATCAACCTCTTTATTTGAAATAAACACGTAAGTCGCTCAGATCCATCCAACTGCTGGACAAACAGAGAGCTGTGTTTAATTAAGTTCTGATACATCCATATCTGAAACAGCAAAAGATACAGATCACTCTCAATCCATAAAAAGCTCATTGTTTACAGTACATAACAATCCAAATTTCCTTAAGTGGTAAATAGATACTTAATCAAAACATGATAAAAAGTAAATCTTCTAAATCAGCTTTTATTTTGTAGTATATACCACACGTCTTTGATTTTCTATCTTAAAATAGCAAATCAGTATTAAGCTAAATCTCTAAATTTATTACTAGAACAAGTACACTTAAAACTCATCTAAATCTGAAATAAAACAGCTCATTTGCAAAAATGAGCAATCCATAGTAAAAACACACGAGAAATACAGTATTAATGCCAAGGTGCACAAGGATATCTGTTTCTTCGTTTTACCTTTTGCCTCTGTGTCTCCAGCATCCTTTCCGTTTGGATACTCCCCTTCCCTAACTCCATGAAATTTTGGTAGGAAACCGATCATACAGCCCTACTCTGCCCAGTAAAAGCTCAGGTATGTAGTATGTGAGGTGACAAGAGACTGGACAGATCCTTTCATAATGCTGACATATATCAAATCATCATGGCGTACCCTTTAACTATCTTAAAATTTTGCCAACCATGCCTCCGTAGAGTTGGAAAAAAGTCAAGGATGTGCCAGGGTGAGGAGAACTCCCCAGTCTCCTGGACACAACGACTGGGCAGTGAATTTAGCAAATGTTGAGTAAGATTTCTAACTTGCACCCAGGAGGCCTATCTGCTATGGACGTAGCTACCATAAATGATTTTGAAAACTCAGCACTTAACAAGGAAGCTCTTCTACTTTCTGTACTATATTTTTGTAAAACCGGCTGTTACTTGTTCATTTTGTAAGACCCATTTAGAACCGGTTAAAATTAAGACAGCCTCTTAAATGTGGCCACTTACAAATGTGCCACATTCTTTCTTTGCCTGTTATCTGACAGGAGCACGTCTTCATATAAAATGTTATCAAACAAAATACTAATGCAGAAGTGTTTTATAAAACAAATTACAACAGATCCTAAGTTAGGTGGAGATAACTCTGTGACCCATTCCAAATACGGATTTGCCTACACACACAAGGCTTCTTCTTCAGGTGTTTGGAACTACCCTGTCCATATTTTCTCAGGAACCAACAGGATACAATACTTTCTGTACTCTCTGACATGTAGTTCATTCTAAATTGCATGCTATCTTAACAAGTAACAATAGCATGTACAGTAACTAAACATTATAAAAATCTAAAGGGCAACTGTAGGAACTTCAAGAATAAGGCTGTCAATATATTAACCAAGTAATTATGTTTCAAGTTGCTTATGAAATAAAAAAAAAAAACCTCAAAGCAGTAGTGATACTTTACTTAAACATTCTCTGGACTGTGTTTTGAAGATTTTATTTATTTGAGAGAGAGAAGAGAGAGCTCAAGGGGAGGAGCAGAGGAAGGGAGAAAGAATCTCAAGCAGACTCTGTGCTGAGCGTGGAGCCCGACGTGGGGCTTGATCTCACCATCCTGAGATCACAACCTGAGCCGAAACCAAGAGTCAGACGCTTAAGCGACTGAGCCAGCCAGGCAATCCTGGACTGTGTTTTGATACTGTATTTCACAACCTTGACAAATGTACCAATAACATCCAAAAAGTTGTACATTAAACACTTACTTTGCCTAACTTTTTGTTACTATTTACTAAATGCAGATGAGTAAAGTTTTAAAAACATCTTATTCATTCTTTCTTGGGAAGTCAGCTGAGGATATGTATCAATAAAATGAGGGAGTAAACCAAGAAAGCAAAAAGATAATGGAATCAGGAGGGAGGATCTAAAACTGAAGCAAAGCAAGTGATTTTCCCAAGATAATGACACAAGAATTTCCGGGAATCCAAGAAGATTAGCTCCAGGGAAATAGAGCATCAGACTAGCTGACATCTTTGATCATGGACAATTATACTGAGCAGCATTTTACAGTACTGTCAAAAGTAGAGGGCAACTTTATCAAGAGACTCAAAAAAAGTTAAACAAAAGTGAGGCAATTATGAACTCCAGAATAATTAAATATAATCAGAGTACACTATTTTAGCAGAGACCATAATTTATTTTTTTTATTTTTTATTTTTTAAAGATTTTATTTATTTGACAGAGAGAGAGAGACAGCCAGAGAGGGAACACAAGCAGGGGGAGTGGGAGAGGGAGAAGCAGGCTTCCCGTGGAGCAGGGAGCCCGATACGGGGCTCAATCCCAGGACCCTGAGATCATGACCTGAGTCGAAGGCAGACGCTTAACAACTGAGCCACCCAGGCGCCCCGAGACCATAATTTAAAGTCATAATAATAAAAAATAAAGGGAGGAAATGCAGAAGATACAGCCATATATACCTAGCTTTGCAAGAAGCATCTTAGAAAAACACAAAAGTGGCATCATGCTTACTCCTGGGAGGGAATTAGGGAGCATTGAAGACTGGCACAAAGGGCCTCTTTCCCCACACGATTAATTTGTTGTTCTTGCATTTTTGCTTGCAAACTGAATAAACATTCAAGTTCACTTTTGTTCTATTAACCAGGTTTGATGACATTTAATTCTATTTAGGGTTTCAGAATCCGCACAGGAGCACTTTGCTTTGTTTTGCTTAAGGCCTGGCGGCAAACGTACGTGAATTCTGCTGAAGCAGCCGCGTGGGGACCACAGACGGACCCTCACACAGGAGCATGGCAGGAGCAGTTCTCCAGAGGAAAGGGGTGCTTTCTGTACTATCTTATGACATAATGACTGGCATAAATGACTGGCACCCCCCACGGCACCCACACATCGGTGCTCCTTAGCCAAATCTCAATCTGTAAGACTTGAGTACACAAAGATGGTGATGGCCCGTTCCAGAAAGCAAGCCTGATTATCTGCTACTGTACTTCTCTGATTCATTTTTTCATGAACTTCAGATAGAAAGCCTGGAAAGAGGCTACACTTAAGGAAAGTCTAGAATGGGCAGATGAAGCCACTTTTACTGCCTCTCTAGATTGGACCTAGTTTATGGAAAGTTCTTAGGTTCCAGCCTAGCTCAACTCAGGAAGTAATGTTGCATTCATTTTAAAGCCAAACAGCAGATAAGCAATAAACTGTTCCTGTATTTATATTTCTTATGGGGATCTTTGTAGTATGTATGGTTGTAGTACGGAAGACTTCTCATTTTACACCATCTTTCAATGTAATTTGAAATTTCTGTTACGAGTAAACAAGAATTCCTAAGAATAAGTACATTTTTAATCTAATAATTACATAAGACATCTCTTAATATTTCCTGAGAAAATGGACACAATAACAAGTTGCATTTTTAAAAAGTTGATTCATCTACACACCCATCAGTATTTTCCAAAGCCGTTCCTCATCACTGATAACATTAGAAGCCTATGTTTGACATTCTTATAGTTGTATTTGGGATGTTTTAAAAGCAAGACCCTGTATGTTAGAGATTTCAAGTATTTACAGATAACATGCAAGAATATTTAGGATGCCTGTCACAGTGATGGAAGGGAAGGCACAGGTATGGAGGGCTCTGGGTGAGATGGGTGTTGATGACTATGGACACTGAGTACTGGCTACATGGTGGATGGATCAAGACAGTATTCTACTTTTTCTTTCTTATATATATACATATATATATATTTTATTTATTTGACACAGAGAGAGACAGCGAGAGAGGGAACACAAGTAGGGGGAGTGGGAGAGGGAGAAGCAGGCTTCCCGCCGAGCACAGAGCCCGATGTGGGGCTCGATCCCAGGACCCTGAGATCATGACCTGAGCCGAAGGCAGACGCTTAACGACTGAGCCACCCAGGCGCCCCATTCTACTTTTTCTTATATTTGAAATTTTCCATAAAAAAGAAAACAAAAAACAAAAAAACCCTACTGACAGTTTATCTGGCTCTTTAATAGGTAAAGCACATCACCACAAAGGTGACCCATTATGGCGGGCGGAGGGCAGTTCCCAAAGGCACACACACGGGAGGGTTACCCGACCCCATTAAAAAAGCACGCTGGAAAACACATAAACAAGGGTAAGTGAAAGCGCAGTTGTCACTCACCAAACGTTTTGAGTCTTCGTTCTGCTTGTAGAAAAACAGAAGCTGCCTCACCAAAAGGGTAAGGTTGGGCCCACTGGCAACGGAGAAAGTACCACCGGACTGAGAGGCGGCGGCGCAGCGATCGAACGCGCTTCTCTGGACCGCGTGCTGGAGGCGACACAGATGACAGCAGGTGTGACGGGGAGAGGTGCGGCCGCGGTGGCCCCAGGGAGCACCTGGGGCTGCGCGGCGGTGGGGGCGGGGCTGCGCGGCGATGCAGGGGGTGGGGGGGGCTCCCAGTCTGGGTTCCGCTGCCCCCGCCATTCGGACCGTTCTCGCGGAAAGGTGAAATGAAACCCAGAAAACTTGGGATGGAATGAAGACATTTCAATCCCCCAAAGATGCTTCCAACACTTCCACCTTTAGCTGCGGCCCAGGTTGCTATTTTACTATTTAAAAATCACCTCAAAACTCCCCTGTCTATAAATCTTTATGTAAATATAAACTACTAAAATTAATTATTGGGGAAAACACTATTATCAACATTAGCTTTGATTACACAGGTGTACTAAGATACCCACAAAATGGATTCCACTTCTAAGACTCCGAGGCCTTATTTATTTATTTTATTTTATTTTATTTATTTATTTGACAGAGAGATACAGCGAGAGAGGGAACACAAGCAGGGGGAGCGGGAGAGGGAGAAGCAGGCTTCCCACTGAGCAGGGAGCCCGATGCGGGGCTCGATCCCAGGACCCTGGGATCATGACCTGAGCCAAAGGCAGATGCGCAACGACTGAGCCACCCAGGCGCCCCCCGAGGCCATATTTAAAATAAGCTCTGGCATGCCTAATTCTTTCTCAGTTTAAAAGCAAACTTACTTGCTGTTTCCGGTCTCTGTAGCCTCGTATAAATGACTGTATAATTATTGCATTTTTCAATCTTCGTCTTTCCTCCTGCAGAGTGGAAGGAGGGAGGTACAATGGGTCATAGGGAAATGACGTTTAGCTAGCAAAGACTTAAGAAAAAAAATTACAGAATTTACATACGACAAAATTCACTTTTAAGTGTACCATTCACCAATTTTTAAAATATTCAAAATTCAAGTATCATGATCTAATTTTAGAATACTTTCATCACCCACTCCAAAACCCCCTGTACCCATTAGCACTCATTCCTCAACCCCTGCCCTGGCTCCCCCATCCCCAGCAACCACTAATCAAATCTGTCTGTGTGGGAATGCCTATTCTGGACATGTCTTATAATGGAATCATATAATATGTGGCCTTTTCTGTCTGACTTTTTTTACTTGGCACAATATTTTCAAGGTTCATCCATGTTGTATCAAGTATCAATACTATACTACTTTTTATGGCCAATTAATATTTCACCGTATGGATGTCTCACATTTTGTTTATCCACTTACTACCTGATAGACATTTGGGCTGTTTCCACTTTGGGCTATTATGACTAATGCTGCTGTGGACATTCACATAAAAGTTTTGTGTGGACACAGGTTTTCATTTCTCTTGGGTGTATGCCTAGGAGTGGAATTAACATTTGAGGAATGGCCAGACTGTTTTCCAAAATGGCTACACCATTTCACAATCCCACCAGCATAGTAAGACTTATAATAACAATTTTAGCTTTAAATACAAAAAGAATACAGACAACCCAAACATCAATTTTAAAAGCCACTTTTCTTATCTCAAAGCAGAAAACTCCAGTTTTGATTAAGGCTGTCTTTAAAATTTTCAGTGACCCAGCAAAAATATTTATTCTTCACATCATCGTAACCAATGCAGCTCCTACTGTTTGAAAGCCTACTATGTGCCGGCCCTAAGAGAGACATTGCACAATCATCTTAGACAACTACTACTCCCCATTTTATGATGCAGAAGCTGAAATTTCCATGAAGATAAAGTGATGCTGGAAGACGTAAGAGAGTCAGAATTCAAAGCCAAGTGTGACACGAAAACCTGTACTCATCCTACCACATGACATTATTTTATGTCTTCTATGAATGCCACCTGCCAGGCTTGAAATGCACATGCGCACACACACAATCCTAGGATGGCAGAACACCAATCAGGTCACCCAAGTGTACTTCCTGAGCTTCAAGTGGTTACAGCAAAGGAACCCCTGAGCTTAAACCTAGTTTGCGAATCTATTCATTACTACGATGATTCTAAGAGCCCTTCATTAAAAACCCATATATGGTCCCATGAGTTTTCAAAGCATTTATTTTTATTCATTCAGTTGTTCACTAAGGAGGAAATCTTGGTAGCATTCTAGCCTTCTGGCTGGGACAGGGACCTTTAGAGTCCCAAAACTGGAGTTTAAACATTATCTTTAATAACCCATAATTATGTTCATGAAATTAGAAGACAAGAGAACTGGGAAATAAATGAAACAATCAAAGAAAATTCTAGAACTGAAATAAAATCTGAAATTCAGCATTCAATGGATATATGTAACAATTAGACACTGGTAAAGAGATAATCTGTAAATTAGAAGTTAGGTCAGAAGAAAATATCCAAACCAAAGTAGAAATACTCAAAAGGAAAAATATACAGAAGAGTATAGGAGACATATATGACACAAGGCAAAGGTCAAATATGTACATAACTTGAGTACAAGAAGAAGAGGAGAGGAAGAATGGAGCAGAAACACTACTCAAGAGATGAAGGCTGAGAATTTTCCAGAAAAGATGAAAGACACCAACCAATAAATATTTCTTGTTTGAGCAGTCATTTTCAACTGACAGCAATTTTACCACCCAGGGGACATTTGGTAATTTCTGGAGACATTCTTGGTTATCTCAACTGGAGGGAGGGAGTGCTGTGGCATCTAGTGGGTAGAGTAGAGGCCATGGATGCTGCTAAACACCCTTCCATGTACAGGATAAGCCCCTACAACAAAGAATTATCTGGTTCAAAATATCAACAGAGCTGAGGTTGAGAAACCCCGCCTAAAACCCTTTGTGTCTGCTGCTTCCTTCACCAAGAATGCTCTTCCTCCAGCTTTCCATAAGGCAGCTTCTTTTTCATTCTTCAGTTATCAGCTCAACTCTAACCAGCTCAGAGAGTCCTTCCCTGAATACCATTCCCCATCACTATCACCTTACTCCACTGCCTTCATGGCACTTATCACCGGCTCACATCTGTGCCCTAGAACCCAGCAAGAACATTATCCGTCTTATTCACTATCTATATACCCAGCAAGCAGCACAGTACCTGGAATATATCAAGCTCTCAATTAATATTTGTTAAAAGAACAAATGATTTATTAGAAAACAAAACAAAACAAAAATCTGGAAAAGTAGGCCATAAAATACCATAATTGCTGATTAATCAACAAAATAAAGCCATTTTGAGAAATTGTCACCAGAGAGATGAAATGTAAAATAAAGAATATATTAACAAACAAAAATAAATAAATAAAATAAAGAATAAAACAACTGTCACTAGCTCCATTCGTTTATTTATCTTCTTCACAAATAGTTAAGATATTTGCCTTAACAGTGAGTTTTCTTCTTTTGCTTGGCAAAACATGAACACGATATACTAAGTCTGTCTAGATCTTCTGGAAACCGTTATCATAAGCAAGCAAGTGAACTTTGTAAAAGCCTGTTCCCCCTCCCCCCCATTCTGGAAACTGCCCTTTTAGTCCATCTTTTTCCACACTGGTTCCAGAATAAATTACTTATTATAAAATCCAAAAAATCCAGAAATGCTTCTGAAGTTTAATATACATAAAAATATATATGTTATGTCACATATAACATACATATATCTATACACCTGTATGACAGTAAAGCCAAGACTTATTTAAATGCTATGGAAAAATGCTTATTTAAAGAGACTATTACAAAACTGTTTTTACCTCTCTCTTTCTTCTTTCTTCCTGAGTACGATGTAAAAGAGAAGCCTTTTCTTCCTAAACACAAAAAGAGAAAAGATAAAGAAGGCTAATTTCAAATTCTAAAATACTCTCAAACAAAAATTATACAATGTCTTGACCAAAAAAGGATTCTAAAGATCATACAAACATTCTGACTTAATGAGAAATCTGAGGCACAAGAGGTTAAACAGCCCCCCGCCAGATCACAGACCTAATTAAAGTTAGTATTTCAGTAGTTTTCTAAGAATAAAATCTGATTTCTTTACACACACAAGAGAGTTCAAGTAAAACTGGGAATATCTGAATAATATCAGTGCATTATATCAATGTCAATATCCTGGTTGTGATTATCATACTACAGTTTTGCAAAATATAACCCCCCCAGGAGAAATCAGGCAATGTGAACAAGGGATCTTTCTGTATTATTTCTAACAGCTGCACATAAGCCTACAATTACCTCAATAAAATTTTGATTTTTTATGAATTCATTTTGATGAATTTTTGATGAAACAAAATTCAGTATTGTTACTGAATTTCAAAAAATTCTCTTTTCATCATAAAACTAAATTTTGAACAAAATTACTGGTATGTAGAAGGAACCAAAGTAATAAATGGGAAACTTAAACATTTCAAATGAAATAAAAATACTTAAAGATAACCCTCCTTCCCCCAGAACTGTTCAAGTCTATAGTGTATGGGCATTTTATTTTTATAAATGTAATCCAAAAGAAAATTAACAGCCCAAGACATTATATATGAATCATTATAAAAATGAATACACAGATCTCTTAACAAAAACAAACACAACATCAAAAGAGTGTCAGAAGGCAAGTAATTAAGCCAATTTAAAATTATACATTGGTATGTGAATAAACAGTGTGCAGAACGAAAAGTTTCTCACTGACAAAATTTAAAGCCAAAGAAATAAATCCGGGGCACCTGGCTGGCTCAGTCAATGGAGCATGCAACTCTTGATCTCGGGGTCATGAGTTTGAGCCCCACATTGGGCACAGAGCTTACTTAAAAAAAAGAAAAGAAAAGAAAGGAAAAGAAATCCTCCAGATATTTCCCACTACAAATAATCTCATTTCTTGAATTTCAAATAAAAAGCCTTTATCACATGACCAAGGTCAGAAAAATATTTTCTTTTAAATTTTAATTAAAAGGAGAAGGGGGAATGGAAAATTTAAAGTAAAAAGTGCAAAGGTATGATGGTCAGAATTCGGGAAAGCTTCTAGATAAAAATTTCTAGCCAGTATCCTTATTTATGAATAGAACTGGTATGTTTGTGTCTATACTTTCCTTTCCTTCTATCTCCATTTGATCAGATTTAATATATGTCCATTATTTGGTTAGAGCTAAAAAGCTAAGATTACTTAAAATAATATACCCTGTTACAACTATGAAAAAATACACTTAAGTTTGAAATTAGGGTGGGGGGATGGGGTAACTGGGGGATGGGCATTAAGGAGGCCACGTGATGTGATGAGCACTGGTTTGTTATATGCAAGTGATAAGTTATTGAACACTACACCTAAAACTAATGATGTACTATCTATGTTGGCTAAGTGAATAAAAACAATTTCTCTGAAATTCAACAAACCAACATTTTACCTTAAAAACATGGTACATGCTGGCAAAATAGCCACTACACTTACTTCCACACACAGATAAGTTCCTAGTCCTCGCTAATCTAAAAGCCGCACAGGTTCAAGTACCTCATTTTCCCTGACCGCACTGTTGCTTTCATCTGCTTCAACATCTGGCACGTGTAGGTATTCAACACATACTTATGAAATGACTGAACGAACATTTCCTTTAAGTAAAACACTGCAGTCTAAAGGATGGCATAACCGTAACAGCTGAAAAGCACTTTGGATTCCTGCAACACAGTACTTAGGTTGCAATATGTTAAAAATCAAAATAGGTACTCAGGATCAAAAAGCACACTTAGAGTCTAACTGAATACTGGAATTTCTTAGAAATTCTATTTTAAGTTTGAAGCTCATGGTATGGGAGGAGCCACGAAAGCACAAGGGGCAATGCTGGATGTGCTGAGGGTGAACATTCTTAACTTCTGATTACCTGTAAATCCAAATCCCTGGACACAGGACATCGTACAAATGTGAAGGTCAATATGCACCTGTGCTCAAGGGCTGTAATGTTTCCTACTTAAAAGACAAATTCATTTCAAAAAAATAAAGTATAGCAAGCCAATCCAAAATAATGGATACACACACACACACACACACCCCCCCGATATGTAATTTCAACAATAAAATCCTATTTTTGAAAACGCTAATAAGGCCTTTCAAAGCGTACTCATGCCCCTTAAATACTCTGCAGACAAAAGAAAACGGTCTACAGGGAGAGGTGACCAATCGTCTACGTCCAGTTGGGCACCCTGCAGAGCCGACTGAACGGGAGCACCATCTCCCGCCAGCACGGACTCGTCTGCACCCGTCTCCTGTGCCCTAGCAGAGGAAGGCAGCCGAGGCGGCTACGTGTGCCACACACAGAACACTAACAGGGACTGAAGGCTTCTGTCCCCCCACGAAGCCACAGTCCAAGCCCTTGGCTTCGGTTAATTCACGTATTCCTCAAAACTAGCCTATGAGGGAAGTGCTATTATTTTTCCTGTCTACAGATGAGGAAAGTGAGGTTTGAAAGTGGTAGATACAGGATCTGAACTCAGATGGCCTGGAGCTTAAAACCCACTAAGCAGTACGCTATTTACTTTGAAAAAGAACATTATTATTTTACATTTTGGGAAATTTAAACAATTCTTTGTCTTCATTATACATGAGTAATCTGAAAGATATATCAGAAAGGAAGGGAGAGGGAAGGGAGGCCAAAGAAAAAAAAGTTTTGATCTTCAAAATTTGACAAGAAAACATGGGGAGCAGGTGGTGTTGAGAACCACGGGACACAGAATGTCTAGAAAAGGCAAACTAAGCAATCAAAAAGATCAGGACAAAAAGGCTACCATGAAAAGTCAGCCCAGCACAGAAAGAAAAGTGTGACAAGAGTGCATAATCGATGTCTATACACGATGTAAATTATCAATATGCAGCCCCTAAACATGTAACCAAATTCCAGATCAGAACCAGAGCCTCTTGTATGTTGTTCCCCACCTTGAAGAATGTATCCATTCAAAAAGCATTCAAATGAGGCACAGGGGGTGCATTTATCCATTCAACAAATATTTAGTGAATCACGTATCATGCCAGGCACTAGAGATTTTAAAAGTAAGTGAGGCATTTGCTCCCAAGGAGTTCATAGTCTGGTGGGAGAGAAAAGAAGCTTGTTTACTGAGTACGCACCTGGTACCAGACAGAGTTCTAGACACCAGCGGGAAAGCCTGACCGGGACAGACACTGCCTTTGCCCCCCGTGCAGAGGCATGCACCGGGCATAAGCGTGGGGACAGGAGACCTATTCTGCCTCCGCGACAAGAGAACGCTCAGAAGAAAAGGCAAATTTGAAAGGCACCTAGGAAGGACATGTTCAGCAGGATGACAAGATGGGAAAACTTCGCAGCAGAGGGGCAGAACACAAGGTAGCAGGACCGGGGAGGAACCAGACTCGGCAGCCGTCCGTGGAAGAGTCACGTGGGAACCTGAGAGCTCTACGGCTGGCTATGGAGCCTGTCTCACAGCAGGATGGATGGGAAGGAGATGAGAATCACTTACAATTCAGTGCCACTGAGAGGTCTGAGGGACTAACAAATGTAAGAATCATCTCTTCTCAATGCTCAGTTATTTAAATTAACCCAATTTATGCAAAACCTATTACATTGTCCTTATTGTCTATTCCATGTTAGCCTCTCTGAGGACCTAATTTGAGAACCACCAATGTGCTCTAAGGGATCAAGTTCAAACACTGCCTTAGCACAGGAACATTATGGTCAGAACATTTCCTCCCCTTTCTCCCGACAACTTCTCTTGCACCATCCCCTGATGCTGCCTCAAGTGCATCTCTCCCTCCGACTGTCCTTCAAGCTTCAAATGCCCTGCTTCCGTCTGCCCAATCTGGCTCTCCTTCCCTCTTGACCCCAAAACACACGCGTAGCAAGCACCGCTCATCTTAGGTGAGACTCCATTTAAATGTCCTCTCTCCCATGAGGGAGAAGCTCTCCCTAGAAGACCACACTCTCTCTTACTCCTCCACATGATAAACTGGTGAGTTCACCAATGTAACGAGATTGCCTTGGCACACAAGACGTTCGTGGAAGTGTACTTAGCACATAGGGTTTACAACTCACCGCGCAGAAAATGACTGTGTCATGGGCACTAGTCAAAATCATGGAGGCTACATAGGTTTCCTCTACAAAGACACTGCCTGCAAAATGTTGCTGGAGGTCACTCTCCAGCACACCACGCCAGAGTGCTCGTGTGGGTAGGATTATTCTGCAGAAGAGTGCATTTCAGCCTCAGGGCAGGAAATAAGAAAATGAACCTTGAACTGTATCAGCTAAAGCAGCAAGTAATGAACGATCAGAGTAAGAACAGAGAGCGGGTGAGGCCCCTAAGCAGGGAAGAGCAGGCTCTGACGCACATGCCGTCCGAGCGGAAGCAGCCTTGCAGGGCGCACGCCCGACAGGAAGAGACACCCAGGCCGCTCCCCTGCAAACCAAGCTCAAACCACACAAGCGTGGTAATACTAAATATTTAGCAGGGTTTGGATTTCTGTGCCCAACAAAGGCTCTAGGATTTTATCACTTACAGACATAATGAAGTGTCTATTTAAAGAGAAAAACATTTTTTATCTTAGTGTACCTGGAGAGAGGAAAGAGTAAAGGTAACCTTAATTGTATTTGTTTCTCCTTCAATAAATTATAAATTCCTTCAGAATAAGACCTATGTCTTATTCTTCATAGTCCTGGTATTTAGCATTGTGCCTAATATAATGATTGAAGGATTAAATTTAGAAAGAATAAAGGTACAACTGGGAAATCTGAAGCTTGAAAGATTTTAAAGTTGAAAAAAAAAAGTCATGATAAATTAAGAGAATAGAATGTAAAATCACTTATCTACT